CAGGGGAACGTCAGCTCCCTAAGGAGAGCTTGCTGCCCCACGGATGACGGGCACCAACAGGAAGTACAGTTGAATAAGGTCAAATCCTTCTTTGCTGCTTTTTAGGTGCATGATTTGTACGATTTCCATTATTTCAAATCTCTCATTAGTAAGTTTTTTTCCCCATCTCTAAACAGGAAGACCTAAATTCATTGCTCTGAGGAGAGGCTTCTTACAGAATGACCCAGTCCAGACAGTGGAATCGCTCTCACTTCAGAAAGCCTGGTTCTTCTTGTCTTACCTTCATCTGCAGACCACCTGAGAAGTTCTCTGGGTTAAAAGGTGCTGCAGTGGGCAGGTATGGGATGGCAAAAGCAGAGAGGAAGCACCTGTTTGGCCAATATCTAGGAAAGCGAGGCTATCAAGCCTCCTGGTTTATAAACCAAACTACCAAGCTCCTAGAGCTGAAGTACTATGTACAAGTGAAAGAAAATGGGAAGCAATGAGCATAAAGAATCAGTGAGGGGAAAGATCATAAACGGGCCACATCATTTGAACAAGTTTGAATTTTATCATGAAGGCATTGAAAAGTGGAGAATGGTATGAATATATTTACTTTTTTAAAGTTATGACCCTAAAAACAGTTTTAAGATTAGATTTGGGAGGGAGTGGGCCAGATCAGAGCAGAGGAACCAGGGAAGGTCTGGGAGGAGGGAGATGGACAGGGGGTTAGGCACAGGCAGGGCTTTGAATTGAGTAGATACCGGGGCACTAAAGAGGCGGGATTCGAGGAGGATGACTCGGTTTCTCTTGGGCTTAGCAGATGATATTCTACAAAAAAAGAAGTACAAAAACAGCTCTTTTACTGTTTCTAAAGGTGAAAGTCCTAAGGCTTGGAGGCAGGCTCAGAACAGGCCATTAACTATCAGCAATTCTTCCCATTCTTCTCCTTCTGCCCCCGTAATTCAGGACTGCCACCAAGATCTGTGCTGCTAAACACTTAATCCTAAAATATTTAATAAACTGTTATAATGTGTCAGGTAGTGTGCTGGGTGCTAAGCAAGCCATACAAGGTCTCCAGGTCTTAGATTCCCTAAGACAAGGGTGGCGTTTCGATTATTGCAAAAACGTCTCCCTATTCAAATCCTGAATCTCTGTGACTTCCCAATAAACCCTTCTTAATCACTTGTCACCCTTAGCAATAACAAAATCATCCGTTGCATACATCCCCAGTTCATCCCTTGCATACATCACCATATTTATGGTGATGATTATCTCTATATTGATATTTATCTCTAAGGTCTCCCTAAGGGTAAGGAAATCATCCCTACTTCATCCTTTAAAGGGGCAGTATCAGAAGTTCTGGGTTTTCTAGAACAAAGCTAATTTCAATCCAGAACAAACTTGATTTCAACCAGAACAATCCTGATTTCAAAACAGAAAAGAAAAACACACCTTATTTCAAACCTGTTTCTCAGAAAACATACTTGCTTGATTGAGGGTTTGGGGAACATGACCTCATAGAGACAGCTAGGAAGCTTTCTTTGTGTATGTTCTGGAAAGCTTTGTGACCCCCTGGGTAAGCCAGGCCTCCCCCAGCTGAAGGACGTTATGGGATGCTTACATCACCAGTACTTCTCAGGAAGCGCTAACCAGGTCAGCTGCCCCTCTCACCTGCAGGGTGGAGGGAAGAGGCATATAGGGTCTGTGGGGTATAAATAAGCTTACTTCCAAATAGCAGCACCGAAGCAACAAGAGCTGTGGAGCCTTTCGGCAGATTTTGCCTCCAAACGTTGCTCTTTATCACAAAGAGGAGAAGACCGCCTGAAGACCGTGGCTAGCACTCAAGCAGGCATACCTAAGCCCTGGAGGACTATTAGCAAAGGCTTTCATTCTATTCAGAGAAACTTCAAAGGCCCCAAATGAGGAAAGAAGTGTGGCTGGAAAATGTTGAAATGACAAATACCAATATTTCCACTGACAAAAGATGAAGATGAAACAAATGTTAGAACAGAAAACACGATTTCATTTTACCACATTCTCCCTGGAAACTGTTATCAAAGCCTTGAACAGAAATGAAAAAAAGGTGTCACTGTAACTAGCACACTAGAGCCACCTTAGATTTCCAGCAATGAAAGTCATCTTTGAACAAGCGCTACACAATAATGAAAAATCTCAATGCAGAAAGTAAAGCATATGGCCCTAAATAGTCCCATACTGCACATTTATTAGCCAAGAGAGAGCAGGGAGGAACGTAGGGATCGTCTGGGCAAACTCTTTCAGGCCTCAGAGGAGGAGACTGAACCCAAAGGACTTTAGGTAACTTGCTCAACGTCATATTACTGTAGGTGGTTTCTGAACCTTCTCTCTGTCCAAGGAACCAAGCTCTGAAGGCCTCTATCTGCAAATCCATTGGTGCCCAGCTGCCGAGACAGCCCTGAGTGGGGCTGAAGCTCAGGCTATCAGATGCTGGGCCCCAGAGGCTGTCTCACTGCCTGGGATCCTTTCTGTTGTGCTCACTGAGCCACAGACTTGCCGGAACCTACCTCACTACCTCCCCCACAGCTACAGAATCAGAGATCTCTGTGCAGATGCGTCTATGCCATCTGCAACTAGGTCTGTCTGATGGATGATAGGGAACGCAGAAACAAAGACCAGCCATTCCCAGAAAAACACAAAGGCAAAAAGGATGGTGCCTGGGAAAGGCAGAGTGTGGCCTACAAATTGAAGCCCATGGAATTCAACATGGTAGATAAGGGGAAAGAGGTGAAATATATGAGTTTTTCTTCAAATATTGCTTCATATGAGAAGTGTTGAAGATCACTCATTAAGCAAGACATTCAACCAATTCATCTTTTAGAAACTGGCAAAGGATTTAGAGCTGTGTTACTTAATATGCCGTCCAGGTAGAGAGCTCACACATTTTTCAAGAATAAGTAAAAATGAAAAAAGAAAGGAAAAAGTATGGATCCTGTAGAATTAAGCACCCTCTGGTCAAGGAGAAGAAGCAGAATGGAAAATCCTCAGATCTCCTGCAGAATCTAAAGACGGTGTATAGAAGCTGTTTGGCACATGCAACAGAAATCAAGAAGCTGGGTGACTTAAGAAATCGTATCACAACCTCAAGGAGCCAAGGGTCTGGTAAGAAAAGACTGAGCCATTGGGCATTAGGAAGGATTGCTGGAAGGACCCTTAGCCCACACTCTCTCTTCCCAGGTCCTCTGCTTTCCCAGCTACTCCCAGGGCCTTTCATCCCCCTGAAACTCTCTTCTGAGCTCCAGACCCAGTCGTGCAGCTACCTTCTTGAAATAACACATATATGTTGCGGAAATCTCAACGTTAACAAGTTCAAAATGGAATCCTTCATTCCCATCCCACCAAAACCTCCCGCTCCTGTTCCCTTCAGCTTTTCCCCATTGCAGAAAAGCACCTGCTTCCGTTCCTCTGCTCATCCCAACTCTTTAATAATTTAACTTGTCCTCCTGTGGCTCACATATCCTGGTACATTCTGTCCAACACTAGGACCTATGATTCCTTCCTTAAAACGTGTCTCTAATGCATTGTTTTTTCTATACCAATTCCCTTACTACTCTAGTGTGAACAGCCCTCATCTCTTCTTTGGAAAGTAGGGTCCCTGAAATGAATATGGCCTAACAGAGGAGTCTGGTGAATTCTAAGTGAGAGCTGCAATATGAATGGTTCACATAACTGAACCGTGAATCAAAAAGAGAGTCAGGAATGACCACTGTGCTGTCTGACTTACTTAAAAAAAAAGGTCTGGCAGCAGTTAGTGGTGGTGTAGATGGTGATGTAAGTAGGAATATAAATTGGTACAACATTTTACCAATTTGGAAGAAGCCTCAAAATGGGCCCAACTTTTATCTTGACAGTACCATTTTGAGCAACATTTCTTTACAGATATTAAGGGTGTGAACAAATATTTAGGACATGCATGAGCGTAGTATTAATATAAATAATGTTAACCAACCAAATTGTCTAAAAGTAGATATTTGATTATAGAAAACAGAGTCATACAATTTGACACATCAAGGATATAATTACCTTGAAGAAGGTTTATAGTGAGTAAAAGTAGAATGTTTAGAAGTTTATATTTGCATACAAAGAATAAAGAGTGGTATATGTCATTATATCATTCTTAATAGTGGTGATTTCTAGGTGGTAGAATTATGGATAATAAAATTTTTTTTGTATATTTTGCTATGGTTTCCAAATTGTTGCCACAACAGAAATCCTTTTTTTGGTCAGAAAAAAATAATGTAATGAGATCTATTCCTAAGACATGCTTGAGCCACATCTGGGCATATAGCACTAACTAGAGGGGACACTTCTTCCAAAGAGAGTCATCTCAGAGACTGGCTGCCTGGCTCTGTCCTGCAGCTCACTGCTGGGCCCCTGAACTCGTATCTGTGGTTTATGCCAAGGTCTGAAGTTTTGTCAGAAGGGACGGTGTGACCTGTGGGATGTGCAGGGCTGTCTGTGTGATGCTGGTGGGAGGAGACGCTTTATCTTGCTGTTGATGAGACACTGGCAGGCTGCAGTGTTTTCCCTGTAAGGTTGGCTTCGGCTTTGTGTGCAGTGGGGCCCGGGCACCAGCATCCAGCATGTGCTGGTGAGCCTGGCAGTGGTGGGGGGCAGAGCTTTGAGACTGTTTCAGGATAGAAAAGCACATAGAGGGCTGCTCTGAGCATCCTTGTCACATTCCTGAAGATGCCCACAAATGATGGGAAGACACTGGGGCGAGCGGGCCATCCTGTGGTAAGGAGGCCAGGGCAGAGTCAGTGAGAAAGGAGCTCCCGGACACTCCAGGAAAAACAGCCGCCCAGGCCTGAACCGCCTCGTTATTCTCAGTGGCGTGGGATATTCAGTACAGACATCCACAGACTTCCCAGCGCACACACTTTATTCTGGCACCCAAACCGCCACAGCACTGTGGCCACTGGGAACTGATTTAAGGCAAAGTGGGAAGAAGAGGAAAGACTGCATATACTGCAGCGGCGTCTCTACGGGGAACAGAACCTGCCACAGAACAAAATGCAGTTGGTCTTGTGGTGCCTGATGAAGAGAAGGAAGGGGTGGTCTGCACAGAATCGGGGTTCAGTTCTGACACACCGGGCATTCCTGACCACGGCCGTGGCCGCGGCCGCCTCCGTGCCTTCCTCGTTGACCTCGACGAAGCACTTGTGCATGACCTTGGACACAGGCACACTCTTCTTAGCTGACATTCCGGAAAAGTCTGCCTTGGCTTCCTCGAAAGCATCAGTCATACCCAAACTTCGAAGAAAAGACTCCAAGTCGTAAGTCTCCTCCAGCTTTAAACGGGGAAGGAAAACTTGAACTTTAACCTTAGTCATCTTTTCTGGATTTGTCCAGGCTCTGAACTTCTCATACGTAAGTGCTTTTTCCACCTAAAATAATGAAGAGTCAAATCTTAAAATCTAGACAACAGCCTGACTGACGCACACCTCCCCACGCATCACCCAGGACATGCAGCTAGAATGAGTTCTGGTCCATGACAACCCACAGAGATTTTTCCTTTTGTAAATATGCCATGACTTTCCCTCACATTCTCATCATTTTACCTGTTTTATGGATATAAGAAAAGAACTAGAAAATACTTGAGGCAAGGAGAGGTTTTTTTTTTCTTATCTGTACCAAATTCATTTCAAATGTTTTTAGTTCAGAAAGTTTTCCTAACTAATTGACTGTATTCATGCAATGCCCATTGCTGTGAGCTGAAGAGACTGACAAGAGAGAGCAGGGCCAGAACCCGAGGGTCAAAGAGGGAAACAGGTGCCATCGGGACAGGGAAGGGAGATGCGCTTTCTGGGGAGGGAAGAGCAGAAATGAGGGGCTCGACAGGACTGCGGCTGCTGGCATCGTTTGCTCTCTGTCTGTCCTGGAGTTAGCTTCAAAACCTCCCAGACCCATCACTCATTTTATTTATTTATTTATCCACAGGAATGAACAAATGTAATAAATGACGGTTTCCCCCACCCCCAGAGAGCCAGATACCAAGCACACTTTAATCCTGCGCCTCCCACCGTACACATTTACTTTCTCCCATCCTGAGCTCCATTCTTTCTGTCATGGGAAAACGTGCCTCTCTTCCTCACCAAGAAAAGTTCACCTGTACTTGAGACTCTTGCTACTCAAAGTGTGGTCCACGACCAGCAGCATCTGCCTCACCTGGAATCTTGTTAGAAATGCAGAATCTCAGGCCACCCTCCCACACCCAAGTCAAAATCTGCATTTTAACAAGATCCCCAGCAGATTCATGTGCACATTTATGTTTGCAAAACACTACCCAGATCAAGCCCTATCCTTGTCTAACACTTTTGTCCAATAATTACTGTGCCATCAACTAGCCCCTTCCTTCAGAATAAAGAATAATCCTTGCATTTTTGGAACTCTCCTCCTGGCTTCATCAAATTTGTCCTCACCAGTAACTCCACGCCTATATATAAGCTCAACAGAACTGCACTCACACGTTCACCAAAAGCCATGCAGTACTGTTCATCTGGTACTTGTTAAAACAACCCTGCACTGGAAATTCTTCAAATGCTAACTGGTGGGTGGGCTTAAAGAAATGAGCTCGGGCTGCAGCCACAGCCCCTCAGGCTCACCGCCAGCAGCTTACCTCAGCGAGACCAGCAGTGGCATCGGGCAGCAGAAGGACCATGCTCAGCTCCTCCCCCGCGTACGGCAGCTCCAGCACCTGGGCGTGCACCTCATCTATGTACCCCATCCTGAACTTAGCTTGCTTAAACATCATCTGCACTGTCTTTTTCTCCTGTTATGAAAATAAGAAATTAAAATCACATTACTAAAAAACTAACACAGTTTACTAAAAATGAGATATGTCTAATTCACACAACCCTTAGGGAGCTATCAGAGAATTACTACGTCTGCACAGTATGCTGATAGATGTGAAATCTTCATTATTACATGGTAGTATGGATCATGACACACTATTGTCCCAGCAGATCAAGTATTATCAGGTGGGGGTGAATAAATTGATGAATATAGAGAAATGTAAAGATTTTTATATTAGTTTTGGAAAAGAATTGTGTTTTCTCTTTAAAGAAGATGCATAGAGAAGCACTCCCAAGGACCTTATAATTAAAAATTATTTCTCCAACTTAAGAGGAGAATTAACTAATATTCATGCTTTGGGGCTGAAGAATCTGGTTAGAAAAGATGTATAAGCCAGAAGGAGGTATACTTTTATTTTTAATATACATTTATTTTATATACTGAAAAGATGCTCAATTATATAATTGGCTTTTCGGCTTTGGCTTTT